TGTGTGTGTGTGTGTGTGTGTGTGTGTGTGTGTGTGTGTGTGTGTGTAAGCTGCAAAAACAAGAAGCATTGAGATTACAGTTAAAACAATCCCAGGAGATTAAGTTCATACTGGTTTCTAATTGTAATAAAATTTAATATTGTTATATGGAAACTGATCTTAAAAAGAATTTATTTTTTTTCTTTAGTTTGCTTTTTATTTTTCTGTTATATCCTTTAATATAGCAATATGATACCGTCATTTTTCAAAACTTGTTAATAATGCTAACTAATATATTTCCACCAGAGGGTACTGGAAGTGTGAGAGGAGGAGGAGGGGGAAATGCCAGAGAATACAAAATTAAAAAAGTGAAGAAGAAGGGAAGAAGAGATGATGATAGTGGTGATGAATCTCAGTCATCTCATGCTGGTGTGTAGCTTTCATTTCACTATTGATTTGTGTGTATATGCTTTTCTTAACATTTTTCTTAAGATGCTTGTAATTAGGTACATGTATTTGTATAGTGTGTATTTGTTTTGAATTTTCAGTCCCTGCAAATTTCAGAGTTTAATAATATAAAGGATAAACCTGTCTTAGTTTTTAGGCTGGAATATAAACAAAGGGGCCTGTTATGGTCTTTGACAGTCAAGTCGCTTATTGTAAGGTTTGTCATAGTTAACTATGTTGCCTCTCATCTCCCAGTGATAATCTTATGATACAAAAATGAACAGTTAAAAGACAAAAGAACTAAAAAGTGCTAACACTGGAAATACAGTTACTGTCAAGACATACATGGGGGCACACATTGTAATCTCAGCACTTATGAGGTAGAGGCAGAAGAATCAGGAGTTCAAGGCCAGCCTTGAGTTGGAGGTCAGACTGGGCTACATGAGAATCTATCTCCAGACTAAATCAAAGTTAGAATCAAGCTTAATGCTGGAGTATTGTCTAGAAATTCTGACTTTTGAGATTCGCTGTAAATATTGGCTCATTTACTGATATAATTTTAACAAAAAGGGTGGAAATATTTTAGAAGATGTAAAATAGGCAAATAATAATAACAACAGTGACAAGTAAAACTTCTTCATGGGGTGTCTGTGACCACTGGGGACAGCAGAGTGTTGATTCACATGAGATAAGAAGGAAATCTGGTTCAACACTACTCAGCAGCCAGTGTTGGTTCAAACTTCTAGAGTCTGACACCAGGTAGTTTATTGTGGGCATATGTAAGTGCAGTACAAGTTGACAAAACGTTTCTTGGCGTAATACAGTCCTCGGTACACAAAGAGGCATAATGACACCAAAATTCTTCTCAAAGTACCTGTCGCTTCTTTCCACGTATGTGGGTTCTAAAGATGGGTTACATGTGTTGTGTTAAGGGAGTAGTGTTATGTAAGGGAGGATCTGGTATGGTTTTGGTCATAGAGATAGTACAGGGTTCATCTGGGCTATTAGCCACCTCCAGTCCTGGTTGTGGGAGTTTGGGGGAATCCCTGGCCATTCACATAATACAGAGGTCATCTAGACTATTAGCCACAGCTGGTTCTGCTGGTGGGAGGTTGACCCTCCCGATAGGGCAGGAATTACCTTAGGCTGTTAGCTACCTCCACTCCCACCTTCCAGGAATAAATCAGTTCTACATCTTCTTGGGAAAGACAACCCTGTGTGCTTAACATTCCTGCTTTCCCTAGTGCTGTCTTTGAGTACACAATACCTCTTCACCTTGAAAGGACTCCTGGAAATACCTTTCAAGGGTGAAGGATAGATGTTGGAAGCTAATGCAAAGAATCATATGCTTATTCAGCTTTCACAATACGTGCCTGGCTTGTTACTTATATCTAAGATGAATTAGATAGATGAATTAGATGCAAAAGATGCCTTTTGCATCTTTTAGTTCCTAGGCTTCTTAATGTTTGTCAGGATTAACTCATCAAGAGACATATTTTGCTTTTCTAAACACAGCTATATTTTTTTTAAAGAGAGGAGCATAAAACATAATAGTACTCACCTCTTATCTTCAGCAACAGCTGAAAAAAAAAAAAAACCCACAAATGCAGATAATATGTTACAATTGGTGGCACTGAATATGTTACAATTGGTGGCATCACAGTGCTTAGGCTTTCCTTTAAAATATTCTAAGAAAGATTGAAATAACTAAATTGTTACTGTGCAGAAAATAATGTTAATTAAAGAAAGTCTTTCCAATAAAAACAACTTACTCTGCTTACCCTTGCTCTAAACAGCATCAACATGTGTGTGCTGTTTTTCATTTTATGTGCTTGTTTATCTATTCCTAAGATGTGGTAGGGACAAGAATAAAGACAAATTTTTAAAAAGTTACTCTTTAATACCTGTAATCTTATAAAAATGAGGCATGTGACATTCTTTTGTGCATAGATTATTGAGGCACTGTGACAGTAGTAAAACTATTCTACCTTAAAAGTAATTTCAGTGCTTTGAAAAGGGTTATGTTATAATCTTTGAAATGGAGGGTGAAATTAGGTTCTCAACTAAAATACAGAATCAAGTCAGTATGAAAGATTACTGGAGGAAATGTATTAACAATCTGTAAAAGGATTACAGGAAGCAAACAGGAAAAGACTAGTGTGAACATCAGGGTTGGAGAGCGGATCTCAGAAGAGAATAGAACTTTGGGTTCTGTACCTTAAAGGTATGATTTCAGCTGTTAGATCCTCATTGAGACTGAAAGTTGATTTTGAGCCATTTTATTTTATTGCTAAGTTTCACCTGTGGAATCAACAATGTGATTTATCTAAAATAATCAGTTGTATAAAAGTTATAGCTTTATCATTTATAAAAAATGCTGTTTGCTTTCTTTGATATTAATACTTTTCACATAAGTGGTTAAGCATGGCATTTCCGCAACTACTGTAGCTGCATATAAATTTTATTGTTAATTATTATAGAATTGTCTTTGGGAAAGCAAAAATAAATGATAAGCGTTTCTTTCATTTGTATCTTTCAAAAAAGCTGACTTTAACTTAGTCTTAATCACTTTCTGAAGCTTTCATGTAAATTCATAGGCTGATTTGACTTCAGTAAGTACTCAGTTTTGTGAAAAAGAAAATTCTGCTCAGTATCTGTTGTTCAGTGAGGACAAATCACACTTTTCTGAAAGATGATCTTCTGCTTGATTGTTCTGATATCCCAGGTTAGATGGACAGAGTTGTCCTTGTGACCACCTTGTAAAGAAAGAGAAAAAACAGTTTAAGGAAAATTAAAACATGGCCATCTAAAAGAAATTCTAGTACATGAAGTTCTAAATTTTGATTGTATTAGATACTTGTGTTTGGAAGTAGTAATTCTGTTGACATAAAATACGTTGCTGCCTGGTGAGGTGTGTATTACTACCTGGCCTTTGCCACTGAGTGTGTTTATTTTCCCAATACTGACGTATGTTCCAGGAAAGAAGAAGCCGGACGTCACGTTTATGTTCCAGGACGAAATTGAAGATTGCTTAAGGAAACACGTGCAAGATGCCCCTGAGGAGTTTGTTTCGGAACTCGCAGAATACTTAATAAAGTAAGTATCTATAAACAGCATCTAAAAAGAAAGGGATCTTTCTATTTTGATTGACTAAGAGTAAACAATGGGTACTTAAAGTCTCTGGGAGGGAGGAAAATTAACCCCAAAAACATTAAGTGTGGAAACTTCTACCTTGTGAATAAGCCATGCTCAGTTTACATGCAAAAATCAAGGAAATTTTACATAACTTAACCATTACTAACCATTCCTGATCATCCTTCAAGTCAGACCCAACACATAAGTCTCATAGAGATAATCCAAAAGCTCAGGGAATCTAACTTTTTTTTAGTTTAGAGTAGTGCTTTATAGATTTTTAAAAAATATAAGTAAATTTTATACATAAATATATTACAGAGCCATATATTAAAAAAATAGTATATAAAAATAGAAAATAGATACTACTAGTTAGGCAGCATTGATGTTTTTTTAAGTAATCTATTGTAGAGCTTGTGTTTTTTTTTCAAGATATCTTTTTTATGTAAAGATTTATTTATTTTATGTATGTAAATACTCTGTCTTCATGCACGCCAGAAGAGGGCATCAGATCCCATTACAGATGGTTGTAAGCCACCATGTGGTTGCTGGGAATTGAAATCAGGACCTCTGGAAGAGTAGCCAGTGCTTATAATTGATAGCCAGATCTCCAGCCCCAAATATATCATCTTAATAGTACTTTGGAAATCGGGAGCTTTTCTTTTTGTATTTCCTGAGAATGAGGATCAAACTTATATTCTGTTCTTTTCCTAATTAACTTGAAAGATCTGTTTCATGGGGTGTTTGTTGCTATATCATTCTTGTCACTTTTTCTGCAATTGCGTTGAATACCATAAAATGGTGAAAAATTTTAAAATTATTCTTAATCCTGTAAAACAAATTCCTTTTCTCTCTCCCTTTTTTGTTGGTTTTTTTGTTTGTTTGTTTTTGTTTATTTGTTTTCAAAACAGAGTTTCTCTGTATAGCCTTGGCTGTCCTGGACTTACTTTGTAGACCAGCCTGGGCTCAAACTCACAGCAATCCACCTGCCTCTACCTCCCTGAGTGCTAGGATTAAAGGAGTGTGCTACCACACCCAGCTGTAAAACAAATTCTTTACTGAACCTTGCTTCAGATTAATTTTATTTGCTAGAACGAAGGACTTTTTTTAAAGTGTTATTTCACAATAACAATAACAAAAATGTTATGTGTATTGATGCAGTACATTTTAATTAATGTTATTTATCTTGTCACAGACCTCTTAATAAAATATATCTTGAGGTGGTACGTTCAGTGTTCTTGTCTTCAACTTCTGCTTCTGGAACTGGCAGAAAACGTACAATCAAGGACTTACAAGAAGAGGTTTCAAACCTGTACAATAATATCAGATTATTTGAAAAGGGGATGAAATATTTTTCAGGTATGTTTAAGAGTGTCTGTTTTACAGATGCTTGTAATTTTGCAAGGAAGTTGATCTTAATAAAGTGTCTTTCTTCTCCAGATGACACACAGACCGCGCTTACCAAGCACTTGCTGAAGACAGTGTGTACCGACATCACTAACCTCATGTTCAACTTCCTAGCCTCAGATTTAATGATGGCAGTAGAGGACCCTGCAGCCATCACTAGTGAGGTATGTTAGTGATTTCATTGCTGCTTGATGTAATGTGAGTCTGAGCACATTTTCATTTTCTCTTTTTTGAAAAAGTTTAAAGGAAAAATAAGATTAAAATTTTTATACAAAAAACAATACTAAAGAAGTTAAGTAAGTAATTGTACAATGCTTACATAATTTTACAAGAATTGATAATATAGTAAAGAGGTATAATTACTTCATAATAAATAAGACTTTTTCTAATTGTATCTGTCAATCTTCCCCCTTTCCTAGTTATTTGTAACTCCTTTAATAATTAGTCCAGTTTTCTTCAGCTCACAGTCATTTTCTTTTGATGGCAGAATGCTACTTAATATTGAAACAAACTCCAGTTTATTTGTTTAAAATTTTGATCTTAAACTAGGACCCAAGACCATCACTTCTGCACTTGGCATATGAGGTAGAGCCATGGCTCAGTAGGGTTTTGGTCTGTTCCTTTGGTAATAATGACCATTCCTCTTCCTTCTCATCCTTCTGGGATCATCTGACAGTTGAAGATTTAGGAAAAATGAGTGAGAAAGTCTTTGTGTGGCTGAGTGCATTTATAACTGGCTTTGAGTGTGGTAAGACCACATCCATCTAATGCCGTGGCCTTTTCCTATGGTTTGTTGCCGCATAGTTGGCAGGATGGTTCTTGGTGTGCGTTAATTTTCCTTACATAATAAAGAGCATCCTTCAACCCCAGACAGAAGTGCAGTCAGTTACCCCAGCACTACTTGGAAGATAACTGGATTCCTCCTCTTTCGTCTTGAGCAGCAACTCCAACACTCTGGAATGTTCCATGTCCTCCGTCTCTTTACCAACTACTCTAAAAATTACAAAATTGGCAATCTTGCTCTGTGGCCTTAGAAAGAATGAAAATTGGTGTGAGATGGAGCAAAGAGGCTCAGAGTAGCATGTGTCTTCATAAGTACAGTGTACCCCTTACGTCCGTCCTCTTGAAGTGTATTAGAGGGGTTGATCTGTCTGATCTGCAATACTCTGAAATTTACAGTGTCTATATCTATGAAAGATAATGAAAGCTTCCTTATACCATGTATTATGTAAGCCTGTAGCATAGCCACAGAAGAAGACCCACTGCCCTTCCTACAGGCAGCTTTCCTCCTGTGGGAGAGCCGTGTGCTAGAGCAACACCCTTTCAGGTGACACTGAAAAGAAAACCACGGAGAGTCATTTTGCCAATATTCTCTATTCCCACATGGCTAGGCACTCTGTAGTCTTCTAATGTCACTGGAAGTTGTAAAGAGGGGGGCTGCATACAAGTTTTTTGGCTTATGTTTTGCTAGCTCTGTAGTTCTGTAAAATTTTAACATTTTTATTCCTGGTTTGAGGCCTAACATTCAAGGCACATGATATATTACATTTAGCATTCTGTTGTAGTACTGACTATATGAGGATTTTTGTCTGTCTGTTTGATTTTACATCCAGCATATATCAAAAACACCATGTCAAAAGAACATTTTCCCTTACAGATAAGGAAAAAAATTTTAAGTAAATTGACGGAAGAAACCAAAGTAGCTCTCACAAAACTCCACAACTCTCTGAATGAAAAAGTAAGTCTGTGCTAACTGGCAATCACAGTTAAAACTTTTATGTATAAAGCTCCTTGTGTTCATTCTAATTAGAATAATTATAAATGGAACCTGAACTAGTTGTACACTGTGTACACGTACCTTTTGGGAAGGTGAAGGTAAGAGAAAGATGGGAACACTTAACATTTTTAGTCTAAATCACAATTTCTGTTTGCCAGATGCCTTGTTAACAATTTGTGTTTGAGGTATAAAATTACAAAACAGTATTAAATGTCTATAATTACATGTCTTCAGAGCATAGAAGACTTCCTTTCTTGTCTGGATTCTGCAACAGAAGCTTGTGACATTATGGTGAAAAAAGGAGACAAAAAAAGGGAAAGGTAACATGGATTTTGTTGTTGCTATTCCTACACATGAACTGCTTCATGGTTGAGATCTGAGCATGACTGTGTGAGCCTGAGACTAAGAGAACTGTAGACCTGCAGTCTGCTCACTTCCCTAATCCTATAGATGATCAGTTCTGGTACAGTGTATTAGGTTTGAGACCTTCCTTACAGGAAACCTTAGTTGATCCCAGCAACCTAAGAGTGAACGTCTACATTGAGTTTCCTTGCTCTATAGCTTTGTCAATAATGTTAATCTACCTGTGCCAACTAAAGTTAAAATAGTATGCATGTATATCACCCATATCTAAAGAACTCCCCTAAAAATGTTGTGGAATGGAGTCATTAAACTAGAGGTGAAAAATGAATGCTGAAGGCTAAATAAATGATGAGCCCTTGTTTTGTACTTCTGTGATTTTGGTTTTGCAGGCAAATACTATTCCAGCATCGGCAGGCGCTGGCTGAACAGCTGAAGGTCACAGAAGACCCTGCTCTTATTTTGCACCTCACGTCAGTCCTGTTATTTCAGTTCTCAACCCACAGCATGCTCCATGCACCTGGAAGATGTGTCCCACAAATCATTGCTTTTCTGCACAACAGAATCCCAGAGGTATCATATTTTAACACACTCGAAAATTTTCACGCTTTTAAACATGGAGAATTTAGGATGTGAATCATTGCCAACACCCAATCAGAGTGACAGAAATACAGAGAAGCCATTAGCCTGTATCAGTTTCATCCAGGAATGGGAACAGTAAGTTAGGGATGGATGATTTGGTTTTGGTTTGGTTTGGTTTTGAGCATAGTTCAAGAATCTTTCAGCGTTCTGTAAAATCCATGGTTAAAAAAAAAAAAAAAAAAATCCTCTGATTTTAGAAGTTAAGTTTTCAGGAAAGACACAAGAATGTCTAAACTTCTGTCTCAGTTTCCCTAGTTTTGATTTAGCTTCCAAGGACAACTTCTTGTCCAGTTCATCTAAGGAATCCAACCCCTAGCTCAAAGCAATTTGACTTTTTTAACTCTTGTTATTTTGTCCCTGGTGATAGAGCCTAGCTAAATCGGCTTCCTGTGACATGCTCTGCACAGGTTTTGTTTCTCTTAGTCTGCACTCTGAGAACACAGACCTTGCTTGCCAGATTGAGCTTTCCACTAACATGGCCTTTTTTTTTTTTTTTTTTTTTTTTGTGAAGATAAGGCCCTTCAGTTTGTACTGTTCAAACAAATTCTATTTCTCTGTTCAAAAAAAAACAAATGTTCTTGTACACTTTCTTCTTTCTTTTCACAGGATCAACATTCTCTCTTGGTAAAATATCAAGGTTTGGTTGTGAAGCAATTAGTCAGTCAAAATAAGAAGAGTGGGCAAGGAGAGGATCCATCCAGGGACGTATTAGACAAGGAACAGCATGACATCAGCAGTACTAGTCGGAAAGAGCTTCAGGAACTGTCTTTATCCATTAAGGACCTTGTTCTCAAGTCCAGGAAGTCATCTGTGACAGAGGAGTAATGCTGCTAGTTACCTCTTATTATAGAGTGAGTATTTTCCCCAAAGTAGATCCGTGATCACAGAACTAGTCCCTTAGCATACCCCACTCTTCCCTGCTATCCTCCACACAATTCAGATAAAATAGTGCTGTTGTATTAGAGGCAAATCTTAGGAGAATCTTTACAAGTGGAGTTCTTCATGAAACACTTTCTTTTCATATAACCTAAGAGTAATTTTTCAAGTAATAAAAGTTTTTCAAAGAGTCCTGAATCTAGAACATAGTATATGCTTTAATGTTCTTCTAGATGTTACAATGAAAAGTAAAATAGAATACTTGATCTTTCTAGGAGAGAAATTGTTTGCTATTTAATTTATACGGTATATTTTGTAAAAGGAAAAATTTGTTTTTATGTCCAAAAAAATGAATTGGTTTTATTTTAAATTAATAGAGAATGGTTAAAAGTAGAAGTTTCAAATTTCTTTTGTATTACTGAGCTCCGGCTCTTTTGACAGGTAGAAGACCTTCTGCAAGAGTGTTTCAGAGGCCTTGGACGTGGTTTACCAAGTGAGAACACTGAGGAAGCATGTATTCTCAGAAAGCAGCCACAGGCACAGTGAGGGAACACACAAGGGGCACCAGCAAACAGGGCAGGGCACTTTGCGTGTCGAGGTGGCTAAGACAACAGAGGTGTTTCTTTGATTAGCCCTGCGTAGATTTCTAAGGTTGGTTTGTTTGGTTTCTGTGGCTGATTTCACCCTGAGTTCTTTGATGGAACCTGTGTATTAAGTAGCTGGGCCATTCTAATGAACACAGAATCTGTGTGTTTAAACCATGCAGAACTTTATTCTAAAAGTAGAAATTTTTAAAAGTTGTGTTTTTGTTTTCTGTGATTATTGTTTAAGACTTATTAAAACAGTTTCTTAGAACAATAGTTTAAATCAAGTAACTCCTAAGCGACGTCTTATTACTAGTCAAAATTTAGTTATTTGAAACCAAAATGTTTAAAGAATGCTGTTTTATATAATGCCTTATACATTGTTGAAATTTTTATATTTTAAGATGTTTAAATACAAAGATAAGACTACCTCTTTTCTGAAATGTCAAAGTGTTAATATTGCATGGAAATAATTACTAAGGTAGATAAGTACTGGCTTTTTTTTTTTTCCCCCAGCAGCACAGGGATGTTTTATAACTTTAGTTCCAGGAAATCCAATGCTTTCTGGCCTCTGCAGACACCAACCATACACAGGGGGTATGAGATTTTATGCAAGCAAAATACCTATACACATAAATAAACATAACAAATGATTTCACATTTATGTAATTTTTATTGCTTATTTCTATATAAGCAAAGAAAGAAAAGTGGTAAATTCTCCTGACCCCAAAATCATCTCTTTTTTTTTTAATTCAGCTTTCAAATTCATACTCAGCTTACTCAACTTTTGTTTAATAATGTTATTTATGTTACAAAAAATACCAAAGTAACCATATTTGCTCCACACTCAACTGTTAAAATAAATACAATGTGAACTCAATTTAATATACAAAATAAACTATAAAAATATAAAGTTGTCTTAATCTTACTTGTATTTATTTCATTTGTCCAAACGGTTCTTAGTTTTCTTTAGTAAATAAAAAAAGTGTTTATAAATTGTATAGCTGATTTTGTCTGTAAAGATTTAATTTCTGATATATTTTTAATAGATTGAGTTAAGAACATTATTTAAACTAAAAATGTCTATCTTATTAAATTTTATATGCCATACTGAAAATAATAAATGCAATCTATTTAATGTTTATATTTTTAATTATTCTGATTGTTATGGGAGGTGATTTTTTTTTCCCTGTGGGTTTTTTTTATTTTTATTAATTACAGTTTATTCACCCTGTATCCCCCCTGTAGTTCCCTCCCACCTCCCCGTACAATCCTGCCCTCCCCTCCTCCCACCGGTACCCCTCCCCCAGTCCACTGTAGGGGAGGTCCTCCTCCCCTTCCCTCTGATCCTAGTCTATCAGGTCTCATCAGGACTGTCTGCATTGTCTTCTTCTGTGTCCTGGTAAGGCTGCTCCCCCCTAAGGGGGCGGTGATCAAAGAGTAGGCCAATCAGTTCCTGTCAGAGACATTCCCTGTTCCCATTACTGTGGAACCCACTTGGACACTGAACTGCTATGGGCAACATCTGTGCAGGGGTTCTAGGTTATCTCCATGAGTGGACCTTGGCTGGAGTATCAGTCTCATAAAAGACCCCTGTGCCAGGACTTTTTGGATCTGTTGCTCTCCTTGTGGAGCTCCTGTCCTCTCCAGGTCTTACTATCTCCCTCTTCTTTCATAAGATTCCCTGCAGGTGATATATACAACTTTTTTTTCTGTTTTAAAATTTTTATTAATTACAGTTTATTCACTTTGTATCCCCCCTGTACCTCCCTCCTCCCCTCCCAATCCCAACCTCCCTCTTTCCCACCCATGTCCCTCTCCCAGTCCACTGAAAAGGGAGGTCCTCCTCCCCTTCCCTCTGATCCTTCCTAGCCTATCAGGTCTCATCAGGAGTGGCTGCATTGTCGTCTTCTGTGGCCTGGTAAGGGGGAGGTGATCAAAGAGTATGCCAATCATAATTCCTTATTTCCTGGTGGGTTTTGTTGCTTGAAAGTTTGCCATTCATCTTACTAAACCATTTCTGAGCCAAATTTCAGCAAATGTATAACAATGTCCATATCTATTAGCTCTTGATACTATAACAGAGGTATGTAAAAATAGGCCCCAGTTTTCATGTTCCATGGTGTGTTCTATCTACAGACCATTATATTCAAAGGAAACCTCTTCTGACCACCTAGAACAGTGGTTCTCAACCTTTAGGTCACAGCCCCTTTAGTAATCAAAGGATCCTTTCACAGGGGTCACCCAAGGCCATGGGAAAGCACAAATATTTACACTTTGATTCATAACAGTAGCAAAATTACAGTTATAACATAGCAACAAAATAATTTTATGGTTGGGGATCATCACAACATGAGGAACTGTAATAAAGGGTTGCAGCATTTAGGAAGGCGGAGAACCACTGGTCTAGAAGATCAAATCTCATTGTGCTGTGAGCAAAGACCATAATGCTCTAGAAAGTGAATAAAAAGTGTCTAAACCTCTAGGTAGGGCCACCTTGGACATTTTAGAGAGGAGTTTTACTCAGATACTGAGGTCAGAGTGTAGCAGTGAGCTACGTAGGCAGGGAGCAGGCATTGCTCTTGTTGAAATGTCATCAACTCCAGGCCAAAATGTTTTTGTTTTTTTTCTACCAAAAACTACTTTTGACATTGTATGAAAGGAAGGTGGAGTTTCTTTTTTTTTTTTTTTTCACTAAATTCCATGAAGCTTTTACCACAATGAGAGACAAGGTAAAATCACATAGAAAACTCTCGGGTGTATGTTTTCCACACATATTTTAAATCACTATTATTAATGTAATTGTTACTTTTTTAATGAATGATAATTTTTACATGTTGAAAAATTAAAATAACCTTAAAAGGGTTGCACAGATTGCTACTTTTATGGACAGTTAACAAATGACTTACAGGCTTTCAAAGAAAAGTTGCTTCTCACACAAAAGGAGTAACATTTAGTTTAAGTATGCATTAAGTTTCTGTACATTTCTCATGTACAGAGTCTAGTACACCAGAGAGAAACCTTTCATCTGCCTAATCCCGCCAAATGTCCAAAAGTTCATCTGTCATGCTTCACTGGGAAGAAGTAGAAACACACCATCAAATTGTTTGCCTTCTGAGCCTTTAGGCCTTCACTCTATTAGTCATCAAGGTTGGTAGACAAAAATGTGTGTTTAAGCAAGGTAATATATAAGTTTGAGCATGGTATACCTGTAATCTCAGGTGGATTACAAGATCAAAGCCAGCATTAGCTGCATGGTAGATGTCTCAGAAACACAAAATAGTTGTTAATGTGTTATTAAATAAATGTAATCGAACTTAATGTGGTAGATTTTTTCTCTGTCCCAGTCTACCTAAATCAAGCCCCCATGATTCTTGGGTTAATAAATGCTTGATACAACTTTTGTTGACAGAAACAAGCAGTGGGTCGTAAGAAAAAGAACCCATTTCATCATAAATTTCATCACACCTGTTACTCACAAGATAATATTTCATTGATTCAGAAGGCCTCAGTATATTAAGGGAAAGTCTAGGGAGATAGAAGAGTGGATAATCATAGCTTCCTGATCTGTGTACTCTGCTTTACCACCTGATGCCCTACTCCCTCCCTATCCAGTCACTGCAACAAACCTAAGCACAAAAAAAAAAAAAAAAAAAAAAAGATTGCTTGACTTTTTGAGACTCTGAAAGCTCCAGGTTAAGTGAAAAATACATTTGTACGTTTTATAGGCTCAGATGTTTGACTCCTTGGTTCCCATCAGTAGAGCATTTGGTTTGGGATGTGTATCCTAATGGGAGAAATATGTCGCTGGCTGCAGGCTTTGAGGTTTCAAGAGCTGCCTGCCATTTGCATGTGCTCTATTTGTGCCTTGGGTTGGGATGTGAGGTCTCAGCCTGCTGCTCAGTCCCTCCTGGTGCCACCTCTGCCTCTGATAGTGATCACTCCCGTGCCTCTACAACTGTGAGTCCTGCCTTCCGTAAGGTATCGTGGCCATGGTGTTTTATTACAGCAGTAGAAAAAAACTAATAATCTGCCTTTGTTATCTGTAAACCTAGCAATATAGCCTATGGTTATATGGTCTTTTCTGATTAATTATATTGTGTTAACTTGGAAGCTATGTGTAAACATTTATACAAATACCTAATTTTTGCCTTATGTAGTTAACATATATACACAAAATTCTAGAGAAAAGTGTGTTTAGATTATGCTCGTTCCTTAGAATGCAAGTAATTTGAAATGTTTTTTTTTCCAGAATTTAGACAGCATACATTTTTACAATTCATTAAGACATTTTAAAGTAAACATTGCTCTCTAATAATAGAAAAAAGGGTAGAAGGGAACCACACTGAAGCTGAGGCGAGTGCTTATGGCTTATAAAGCAATGTATTTAGTTATGTTAAGTCTGGAGTGAAGGGATAGTGACATGCCTAAGAGATGGCATTTAATAAACTAGATCCAACAGAAGATGTAGAAAGAGAAGCTGGTGGAAAATAAATGGGGGAACCTAAGATTTAAGATGACAGGTGGGTGGTAGTGCCGTGCTCTGAGAGACTATAGGAGTAAACACCTCATTTAGCTGCTGTGAACACAACTGAGCAAATGTCCTTGTTGTAAGGTTGAGCATCTTTCAGATATATGCTCGAGTAGTATAGCTGGATCTTGAAGTAGCACTATTTCTAATTGTCTGAGAAAGTGCCAGATTGATTTCCAAAGTAGCTGTACAAGTTTACATTCCCACCAGCAATGGAAGAAGGTTCCCCTTTCTCCACAACCTCTCCAGCATGTGTTGTCACTTGAGTTTTTGATCTTAGCCATTCTGATGGGTGTAAAGTGAAACCTCAGGGTCATTTTGATATGCATTTCCCTAAGGACATTGAGCATTTCTTGAAGTGTTTCTCTGCTGTTCAGTATTCTTCTATTGAGAATTTTGTTTAGCTCTATACCCCATTTTTTAAATTGGATCCCTGCTTAGATGTAGCCCATAAGCAGCTCAGTCTCCATGTGTGTTATCTAGTAAGGGGAGCAGGGGATGTCTCTGACATGGACTCAAAGGCTGGCTCTTTAACCTCTTCCCACTGGGCAGTCAGCCTTACCAGGCCACAGAGGAAGATAATGTAGCCAGTTCTAATGAGACCTGATAGGCTAGGGTCAGATGGAAGGGGAGGAGGACCTCCCCTATCAGTGGACTAAGGAAAGGACATAGGAGAAGAGAGAGGGAGGGTGGCATCAGGAGATGAGGAAGGGGGATACAAAGTGAATAAATTGTAAAAACAAAACAAAACAAAACAAAAAAACACTGTGTTCAGGACTGGAATGGCTGCAGCCACAGACAAAAGATCACAGCGCATTCCTGAAGCCTTGTTAGAGCCATGTCAGGTGACACTAAAGATGTACTGGCCATAGAATTGTGAAGCGGTTCATAAGGAACACTGGAAATGCACTGAGAAACATGGAATAAAGAATGAAACTCCAGGGGAGAGAGCAGAGGCTGAGAAGGAGGAAATCAGGAGTGTCTAACTTAAAGAAAGGAAGCAGGTTTGAAGAGCAGGGCTGGCCAGAGAAATTTCCTGTAAAATACAACAGTGCTCTGAGAGATTCTAGTCAACATACTTTATGATCTTAAAGATTTTTTTTTTCAGAGGAGGACTTTGCAGCCAGTCCTGAAGATATCTGATAAACAGGGTCAGATGAATAGGGAGGAGGTCCCCTCCATCAGTGGACTTGGAAAGGGGCAGGGTGGAGATGAGGGAGGGAGGGTGGGATTGGGAGAGAATGAGGGAATGGGATACAGCTGGGAAACAGAGTTAATAAAATGTAACTGATAAGAAAAAAATAAAATTAAAAAAAAGTTTTTTTCTACTTTCTGGTAGAATAGTTCAAGCAAAACACAAATTACATGAAATTGAAAGAATC